GCTAAGAGGGAAGATGGGGGGGGGAGTATTGGTGCTAAGAGGGAAGATAGGGGGGAGTATTGGCGCTAAGAGAGCATATTGAGCTCCGGTTTTACCACCCCTTGACCTCCAGTGTGAACACTGACATGACACAGCTCACAGCTGTATATATACTGGAGTTGCTGCCAAAATTTACCAGCATGTGGCATTCGGCAGGCAGTACCCCGCTGAAGTCAACTAGTGCAAGTCTGTGGGGCCGCAGCACAACAATGTGCAATGTACATAATTGTGGTGCAGAAGTGCTGCATTTATGGGGTTAAAGCAGGAGGTGAGGTCAGGGGTGTATTTAGCTTCTGTGCTGCCTAGGCAACACAAAAATATTCTGCCCCACGGACCCGACCAACACAACCCCCTTCCCCCTCCTGTGGAGAGAGCCTGATATTGACCAACAAACACCCCTGCCCCCACCTGGGAGAGCCTTCCACACTCATCTTCACAGCTGCGGACATCCCCGGGAACGAGAGTCAGGCTCTACATAGACCATCAAGCTGTCCGCAGCCTCTCTTGGATCCCACCTGGTCCCCATGGCTCGTGTGTCCCTTCTTTCATCCCTTCTTCTGAGGGGAGGTGCTGCCCCTCTGAAAAATGCTGCCCTAGACAAGTGCCTTGTTTGCCTTGTGGTAAATACGCCCCTGGGCGAGGAGGTGACATAAACACCTTCTTACCACCTGTCAAATGCGTTCTGAAGAGCAAGCCACATGTGGACAAGCCCTAAGAGAGGGGATTTAGGGGAGAGAATTTCTGGCAAGAGGGTGATGGGGGGGGGATCTAGAGAAAGAAGATTTCTACTGGAGGGGGGATGAAACTTGGAGCAGAAGGGATTTGTGCTAGGAGGAGGAATTTGGGGGACGGGATGATTTGTGCTAAAAAAGGGTCATTTAGTGCTGGGGAGGTGAAATTTGGGGGGGGGGGGATTTGTGCTAAGACTGGGTATTGGGAGAGGAGGGAAGATTAGCGCTGGCAGGGGGATTGGTGGAGGAGCCCACATGGAAGAATAATATATTTGAAATGCTACAATTTTGTCCATATTCAATATATTTCAAGAAATATATATATACACACAGTTGTGTTCAAAATACTAGCCGTCAGACATCACTAACCGGATCAATCGCTGTTTTTGGTGGAAAATGATATTTCTACATGGCAAATAATTTCCTAGCCGGTGTAGTAGAGTCATAGAAATCCAACAGACCCAACAGTCATGACATGCATGCTGCTGATTCTGTGTCATTGAATCACTCATTGAAAGGGGCGTGTTCACAATAATAGCCGTGTGGAGTTCTATTAGTGACGTCATTCATTCTTTGATAAACAGGGGCAATGATTGCCCTTATTTAAGGAAGGAAGGCAGCAAATGTTGGACATGCTGGTTACAGTGCATTTCTCTCTGAAATTCTGAGGAAAATGGGTCGTTCCAGACATTGTTCAGAAGAACAGCGTTCCTTGATTAAAAAAGTTGATTGGAGGGGAAAACATATAAAGAAGTGCAGAAAATGATCGGCTGCTCAGCTAAAATGATGGCAAATGCTTTAAAATGGCAACCAAAACCTGAAAGACGCAGAAGAAAGCGAAAAAACTACCATTGGAATGGATAGAAGAATAGCCAAAATGGGGCGGACTCAGCCAACAATCAGCTCCAGGAAGATGAAAGAAGGTGTGACGTTCCCTGTGAGGACTCGGCCAACAATCAGCTCCAGGAAGATGAAAGAAGGTGTGACGTTCCCTGTGAGGACTGTTACAATTAGAAGACGCCGATGTGAAGCCAAGCTATCTGCAAGAAGTCCCCGCAAAGTCCCACTGTTGGAAAAAGACGTGTGCTGAAGAGGTTACAATCTGCCAAAGAGCACATTGACCGGCCTAAAGAGAAATGGCGCAACATTTTGTGGACTGATGGAAGATTGTTCTTTTTGGGTCTAGTGGGCGGAGACAGTTTGTCAGACGACCCCCAAACACTGAATTCAAGCCACAGTACACTGTGAAGACAGTGAAGCATGGTGGTGCAAGCATCATGATATGGGGATGTTTCTCATACTACGGTGTTGGGCCTATTTATCGCATACCAGGGATCATGGATCAGTTTGAATCCATCAGAGTACTTGAAGAGGTCATGCTGCCTTATGCTGAAGAGGAAATGCCCTTGAAATGGGTGTTCCAACAAGACAACGACCCCAAACACACCAGTAAACGTGCAACATCTTGGTTCCAGACCAACAAGATGGACGTTATGGAGTGGCCAGCCCAATCCCCGGATCTTCATCCAATAGAAAACTTGTGGGGTGACATCAAAAATGCCGTTTCTGAGGCAAAACCAAGAAATAGAGAAGAACTGTGGAATGTGGTCCAATCATCCTGGGCTGGAATACCTGATCACAGGGGCCAGAAGTTGGGGGACTCCATGCAACACAGATGTACAGCAGTTCTCAGAAACAGTGCGACTACAACCAAATATTCATGAAGTCATTCAAAGGAAAGCAAAATCTTCAAACATTTCTCAGTTTATATAGTGAATGTTTGAGTTTGTAAAGAAGAATACAAACACTGCGATTTTTTTGAACCGTCTAATATTCACTTTTCTTCCATTTTTTAGAGGAACAACACAAATTTGATGTATTTTTCTTCATGTTGTGATTTGGAATAGAATGTGTCGTGTTCCCAATGCATTTGTGTGGATGGAAATAAAAGCTATTAGAAGGATTTTCAGCTTTAGTCACTTTTTTCAACATGATGCTATTATTTTGAACACAACTGTATATGTATATATATATATATATATATATATACACACACACTACATGTTGAAAAGTGTTGTTATTACAAAATATATATAAAATATTTAAAAAAATACATTTCAAATATACTGTATGTCTTTAAAAATACAAATCTACATTTTTGGAATGCATTTACAAATATATGTAAATATATATTTTTTTAAATATATTCTTCAGATTTTTTTTAACATATAAAACAGTAATTTTAACATATATTTTTTTATATCTATTTGTAAATGCATTCCAAAAATGTAGATCTGTATTTTTAAAGACATACAGTATATTTGAAATGCATTTTTAAAAATATTTTTCATATATTTTGTAATAAAAACGCATTTCAACATGCAGTAGATACACACACACACATATATATATATATATATATATATATATATATATATATATAAATATAAATATATTTTGAAATATTTTGAATACGGCCAAAATTGTAGCATTTCTAATATATGCCAATATATTTGGGAAGAATATTCTTAAAATATACTTCAAATATATTTTTCTTCCATATGGGAGGGGCTGTCACAGTCAGGGATCAGGCGCGGAGGCCAGTGGCCGTAGCAGTAGAGGTTCATGAGCAATCAGCTGGAAATGCATACGCAAGTTCACCTAATGGATGATGTGGGATCTAAGCACAAGCTGGTCTTCACCAGAGCTCCTGATGATGAAGATGGGTTTTGCTGCATGCTAATACCAGGTAGCGGCTGTAACGGAACCGACCCAGACTGCTCTTGAGTACTTCCATTATAATACCGCTTCCCCGTCTGAACACCAACCACAGCAGCCCATACAAGACTAGACGACACCAGAAGTAAACCAGGAGGTAGACTAGTTTATTTGAACACAGATACAAGATACTGTATACACACAGGTATTCAAACTTCACACCAGCAGACAGTCCCATCAGGAGGGAGGGTTGCTGGAGACCCCCCCCCCCCCACCAAGCCAATACACAAACACATACATCCCATAATAGTTTGCTCCCAAGTCAGACAAACAATAGAACAATGGGATGGGATGCAACCACATGGCATTAAACAATCAACAACCCCCCACCCCAATATTAGGACAGATCACCCTGTACCCCTAACAGGCACAGGGTGACTTACACATAAGAGGGATATGGGGAGCTGGGACAGGGGTCTCCCCACCTCTCCAAAGTGAGCTGGGTTCCATGGGCCCCCCACCCAAAGTGACTCCCGTCACAGTGGCCCTCTGGATTGCACAACAGGAAAAGAGCAAGCGGGGCTCAGGTAACAGATGAAGCAGATGAGGAACAAGCAGAAGCGTAATCCATGAACAAGCCAAAACGTGACTTAGATGGGATCAGATGGAAGGGTATAGTCTGTGAACAAGCTAAGGGTTGATAATAAGTGGTAGTGAAGGTATGGATGGTGGCAGGTATGCAAGGAGCAACATATCAGCTGGAAGGAGCACAACATGGCAAATAGGAAGTGCAGAGACATTTCTTAAATAGGAAGTCGATGGGAGGAGCAAGGAATTCAAGGTTCACTAGAACAAGAGACACGGCAAGGTTGTCCAAAAGAATCAGGCAGGGACCTGTCCTGGCATCTCAGGAGGCTCAGCAAGAAACACCTACAGCCAGACACCACAAAGGTCCCAGAATCACATCCAGGTCCTGAGAGGGGATTTGGGGGAGAAGATCTGTGCTAGGAGGGTAATGGGGGGTATTTTTGTTAAAAGTAAAGATCTGGGAGAAGAAGATTCATGCCGGGCAGGTGGAATTTGAGGCTTGGGAGATGACTAGGGGAGCGGAGATGGATGTGGAGAGAAAGGGGGGATGATAAGAGAGGGTAGTTGATTTGCGCTCGGGAGGTGGAATCTAAGAGATGGGGGGGGGGGGGGGGAATTTGAGCTAGGAGTGTGAAGCTGGGGGGGGGGGGGGCAGATTTTTTTCTAAGATGGGAGATTTGGGGAAGGAATTGTGCTGGGAAAGGTGCTTGCATACTGCCCACTGTCATACCTCTACACTCCTCTCCTGTACATACAGATCACTGTCATACCTCCGTACTCCTCTCCTGTACGTACCGATCACTGTCATACCTCCGTACTCCTCTCCTGTACATACCGATCACTGTCATACCTCCCCCACTCCTCTCCTGTACATACCGTGATCACTGTCATACCCCCCACACTCCTCTCCTGTACATCCGATCACTGTCATACCTCCGTACTCCTCTCCTGTACATACCGATCACTGTCATACCTCCCCCACTCCTCTCCTGTACATACCAATCACTGTCATACCCCCCACACTCCTCTCCTGTACATACCGATCACTGTCATACCTCCGTACTCCTCTCCTGTACATACCGATCACTGTCATACCTCCCACATCCTCTCCTGTACATACCGATCACTGTCATACGTCCGTACTCCTCTCCTGTACATACCCATCACTGTCATACGTCCGTACTCCACTCCTGTACATACCGATCACTGTCATACGTCCGTACTCCTCTCCTGTACATACCCGATCACTGTCATACCTCCACACTCCTCTCCTGTACATACCGATCTACTGTCATACCTCCCACACTCCTCTCCTGTACATACCGATCACTGTCATACGTCCGTACTCCTCTCCTGTACATACCGATCACTGTCATATACGTCCACACTCCTCTCCTGTACATTACCGATCACTGTCATAACGTCCGTACTCCTCCTCCTGTACATACCGATCACTGTCATACCTCCCACACTCCTCTCCTGTACATACCCATCACTGTCATACCTCCACACTCCCTCTCCTGTACCATACCGATCACTGTCATACCCCCCACACTCCTCTTCCTGTACATACCCATCACTGTCATACCTCCACACTCCTCTCCTGTACATCCCATCCTGTCATACCTCCGTACTCCTCTCCTGTACATACCGATCACTGTCATACCTCCGTACACTCCTCTCCTGTACATACAGATCACTGTCATACGTCCGTACTCCTCTCCTGTACATACCGATCACTGTCATACCTCCCACACTCCTCTCCTGTACATACTCATCACTGTCATACCTCCGTACTCCTCTCCTGTACATACCGATCACTGTCATACCTCCACACTCCTCTCCTGTACATACCGGATCACTGTTATACCCCCCCACACTCCTCTCCTGTACATACCGATCACTGTCATACCTCCACACTCCTCTCCCTGTACATACCGATCACTGTCATACTCCTCCACACTCCTCTCCTGTACATACCGATCACTGTCATACCTCCACACTCCTCTCCTGTACATACCGATCACTGTTATACCTACCCCCCACACTCCTCTCCTGTACATACCGATCACTGTTATACCCCCCACACTCCTCTCCTGTACATACCGATCACTGTCATACCTCCACACTCCTCTCCTGTACATACCAATCACCGTCATACCCCCACACTCCTCTCCTGCTGTACATACCGATCACTGTCATACACCCCACACTCCTCTCCTGTACATACCGATCACCGTCATACCTCCACACTCTCCTCTCCTGTACATACCGATCACTGTCATACCTACCACACTCCTCTCCTGTACATACCGATCACTGTCATACCTCGTACTCCTCTCCTGTACATACCGATCACTGTCATACCTCCCCCACTCCTCTCCTGTACATACCGATCACTGGTCATACCCCCCACACTCCTCTCCTGTACATACCGATCACTGTCATACCTCCATACACAACTCCTCTCCTGTACATACCGATCACTGTCATACCTCCACACTCCTCTCCTGTACGTACCGATCACTGTGTCATACCCTCACACTCCTCTCCTGTACGTACCGATCACTGTCACACCCTCCACACTCCTCTCCTGTACGTACCGATCACTGTCATACCTCCCACACTCCTCTCCTGTACATACCGATCACTGTCATACCTCCCACACTCTCTCCTGTACATACGGATCACTGTCATACCTCCACACTCCTCTCCTGTACATACCGATCACTGTCATACCTCCACACTCCTCTCCTGTACATACCGATCACTGTCACACCTCCACACTCCTCTCCTGTACATACCGATCACTGTCAATCACACCTCACACTCCTCTCCTGTACATACGATCACTGTCATACCCTCCACACTCCTCTCCTGTACATACCGATCACTGTCATACCCCCCACACTCCTTCTCTGTACATACCGATCACTGTCATACCTCCACACTCTCTCCTGTACATACCGATCACTGTCATACTCCACTCCTCTCCTGTACATACCGATCACTGTCATACCTCCACACTCCTCTCCTGTACATACCGATCACTGTCATACCTCCACACTCCTCTCTCTGTACATACCGATCACTGTCATACCTCCACTCCTCTCCTGTACATACCGATCACTGTCATCTCAAACTCCTCTCCTGTACATACCGATCACTGTCATACCTCCACACTCCTCTCCTGTACATACCGATCACTGTCATACCCCCACCTCTCCTGTCCTCTCCTGTACATACCGATCACTGTCATACCCCCCACACTCCTCTCTCCTGTACATACCGATCACTGTCATACCCCCCCCCCACACTCCTCTCCTGTACATACCGATCACTGTCATACCCCCACACTCCTCTCCTGTACATACAGATCACTGTCATACCTCCACACTCCTCTCCTGTACATACCGATCACTGTCATACCTCCACACTCCTCTCCTGTACATACCGATCACTGTCATACCCCCCCACTCCTCTCCTGTACATACCGATCACTGTCATACCTCCACACTCCTCTCCTGTACATACCGATCACTGTCATACCCCCCCCCACACTCCTCTCCTGTACATACCGATCACTGTTCATACCCCCCACACACTCATCTCCTTTACATACCGACCACTGTCATACCCCCCCCACACTCCTCTCCTGTACATACCGATCACTGTCATACCCCCCACACTCCTCTCTGTACATACCGATCACTGTCATACCTCCCACACTCCTCTCCTGTACATACCGATCACTGTCATACCTCCCCACACTCCTCTCCTATACATACCGATCACTGTCATACTCCACACTCATCTCCTGTACATACCGATCACTGTCATACCTCCACACTCCTCCTGTACATACGATCACTGTCATACCCCCCACACTCCTCTCCTGTACATACCCATCACTGTCATACCCCCTACACTCCTCTCCTGTACACACTGATCACTGTCATACCTCCACACTCCTCTCCTGTACATACCGATCACTGTCATACCTCCACACTCCTCTTCTGTACATACCGATCACTATCATACCTCCACACTCCTCTTCTGTACATACCGATCACTATCATACCTCCCACACTCCTCTCCTGTAAATGCTACTTATTGTCATGCCAACTGTACTCTTCACCTGCATGTACTGCTTATTACAACACTAGTTTTTCATTTATAAAGAGGGAATAGGTGAGCGCACTATAAAATCACATCAATCCAAAAGCTGCTAGCATAAAATGATAGAACCCCTAAATCTCCAAAACTCAAAATGATAGAAAAATGTATGCAGCGCTTATCAAAAATAAAAGGGCTAACTAAAATCCAGTAACAAAATAAATAGTGAATGGATAAACGATAATATCAAACGATACACACGAAAATGATAATATAGAACTGAAAATATTGCACTAATAGAATATATAAATTGTACTATAAATATATGATCATATAAAAAAAATAAAATACATAAAGTGCCAACAACGAAACAATCCAGTAATGTTATGGCTGGATAAACTGTGAACAGTGAGCAAAAATAAGTACACTAAATAGTGCACCTAAAGGGTGTATCTGCATATAAATCGATAAAGCTCATAAAGTGCTACAATAGTGCTCAGTAGTCTGTAATCGAGTACAATCGTGACCGGATGAGAATCAGAACGATTTCAAACTTCAAACCCAATAGTGATATGGTGGTTGGGATTAAGGGTGACTCCAGTGCCCGTGACATCAGGTGGTGAACAATTAATATGTGCTTGCTCTTACCAGAAGCGCAAGTCACATGCGCATGAAGTATTAATTTCCAAGCAACACCCTGGTGGTCATCATGGATCTGGTCAGGACAGAAGGGGGCTCCATTGGCACACTCATATAACAGGGGAGTCATTCCACACGCGTTTCGTACGTTTTCGAATGCCATCCCTTCGAAAACGCGCTGTCGCACAAAACGCGTCAGTGAGGAGCCTTGCCGTGCTGACGTCACGCCGCCGAGGCCGCATGTTGGTCCGGCGGCCATCTTGATTATTCATGTAAGCTGGATTTCTGTTTGCTTCTGTTTTTACCTGGAATACTTGACCCAAATAAAGAATTACTTCACTATATGATTCCTGTCTGATGGCCTGGTTTACTGAGCCATTTTAAGGAGGAAGATTGACATCCATTAGAGCCGTGGTTGAGCTGAATTTGGGTTTTTAAGGAGCAGTTCCTTCCCCATCCCCTGTGCTGGATTGGTTTGTTGGACGTGTGTGGAGTGATTCCCCTATGAGTGTGCCAATGGAGCCCCTTCTGTCCTGACCAGATCCATGATGACCACCAGGGGTGTCGCTTGGAAATTAATACTTCATGCGCATATGACTTGCGCTTCTGGAAAGAGCAAGCACATATTAATTGTTCACCACCTGATGTCACGGGCACTGGAGTCACCCTTAATCCCAACCACCATATCACTATTGGGTTTGAAGTTTGAAATCGTTCTGATTCTCATCCAGTCACGATTGTACTCGATTACAGACTACTGAACACTATTGTAGCACTTTATGAGCTTTATCGATTTATATGCAGATACACCTTTAGGTGCACTATTTAGTGTACTTATTTTTGCTCACTGTTCACAATTTATCCAGCCATAACATTACTGGATTGTTTCGTTGTTGGCACTTTATGTATTTTATATTTTTATTATGATGATCATATATTTATAGTACAATTTATATATTTTATTAGTGCAATGTTTTCAGTTCTATATGATCATTTTCGTGTGTATCATTTGATATTATCATTTATCCATTCACTATTTATCTTGTTACTGGATTTTAGTTAGCCCTTTTATTTTTGATCAGCGCTGCATACTTTTTTTTTCTATCACTAGTTTTTCATTATTTGCGATTTCCTATCCAGGAATGCACACACTTCTGCTAGTTTTTCTTAATCTTAAACTTTTGTCAATGTAAAAGAATAGCAGGCACAGATATATTTCACAATGTTGTTTTTATATATATATATATACAGTGGGGCAAAAAAGTATTTAGTCCTCCACCAATTGGGTCCCTTTGGAGGGAGTTGAAAGTCCGTGTTGCCCAGCGACAGCCCCAAAAACATCACAGCTGTAGAGGAGATCTGCATGGAGGAGGAGATCTGCATGGAGGATGGGCCAACATACCAGCAACAGTGGTGTGCCAACCTTGTGAGGACTTCCAGGAAACGTCTGACCTCTGTCATTGCCAACAAAGGATATATAACAAAGTATTGACATGAACTTTTCATATTCACCAAATACTTATTTTCCACCATAATTTGCAAATAAATTCTTTCCAGATCAGCCAATGTGATTGTCTGGATTTGTTTTTCTCATTTTGTCTCTCATAGTTGAGGTCTCCCTATGATGCCAATTACAGGCCTCTCTCATCTTTGTAAGTGGGAGAACTTGTACAATTGGTGGGGACTAAATACTTTTTTGCCCCACTGTATATATATATATATACAGTCATGGCCGAAATTGTTGGCACCCTTGATATTTTTCCTGAAAATCAAGTATTTCACACAAAAAAGGTATTGCATTAACACATGTTTTGCTATACACATGTTTATTCCCTTTGTATGTATTGGAACAAATATAAAACAGAGGCAGAAAAGCAAATATGACATAATGTCACACAAAACCCCAAAAATGGGCTGGACAAAAGTATTGGCACCCTTAACTTAATATTTGGTTGCACACCCTTTGGAAAACATAACTGAAATCAGTCGCTTCCTATAACCATCAATAAGCTTCTGACACCTCTCACCCGGAATTTTGGACCACTCTTCCTTTGCAAACAGCTCCAGGTCTCTCTTATTGGAAGGACACCTTTTCCCAACAGCAATTTTAAGATCTCTCCACAGGTGTTCAATGGGATTTAGATCTGGGCTCATTGCTGGCCACTTCAGAA